AAGTGGGAGAACTTGCACAATTGGTGGCTGACTAAATACTTTTTTGCCCCACTGTATCACTGCTTAGACAGTTTGAAATCTACTGAACAAGAATCTTTGGAGACCTTAAAGAAAATAAGGGGCAAGGACACAAGAGACAGGTTCCCTGGATATAAGGAAAAAGTCTATTCCAAGGAAATCGGGAAGTGAAACAAACAGAGCAAAAGGCATGAAGAACTTTACCTTTCCTGCACAATAGATTCGAGTGTTGCAGTGGCTAGAGAGGCCAGGGCCTTATGAAGATCGGTTTGATAGAATGTTAGGGGAAACATATGGAAAAACGGACCCACTTCCTCTGGATTGACTGAAGTTTGGAACTGCCTGGAGAAACTCAAGAAGGTCAAAACAGCTCCCCCATGGAGGACCACATTCCCTGAGGGCTGCGTGGTGCAAAGAGCTGAAGAGAATAGCAGAGAGGGTCCAGAGCCAAATATGGATAAGGGTCCTGGTCTTTTTCCAGCACTCTTTCTCTCCCCAGGCAGCCCATTGCAGCTGGCTCTTTCCAACAGTCTAAACGTACCTCTTCCAGACAGGTTCTGAAATTAAGCCATGTGCTGCCTAGGGGTCTCAGAGTGTGGGTTGCCCCCCTCCCCCGTACTGAAGAGGTGACAGCCTACCTTGCCACAACATCATTACTTGCCAATGCTGCACCCAGAGGCTGCAGACGGGACCACTCTCTCTGGACTGCTGCCACCCCTCTACCACTTCTTCCTTAGCCCTGTCCTTTCTCTGGAGCAGGGCTGGACACGCAAGCTACTCCCTCTTCCTTCTGCGCACACCTGCCCCCCTCAAGCTGGTCGTGTTTCCTTCTAGCAGAATGGAATGGAATTGGTGACCCTCAGTAGTGGGGGAAGATGTGCATACTCTGTTCAGTATGACAAAGAATGCCTGCCCTCTTGCATTATTACCCACAGGGCTTCCTTCTGATCCTGAGTCTAGCCCTCATGATACAAAAGAGCCCCAAAGGATACTGATCACATACATCCCTCCACCGCTGTCACCTGATTTCCCAACGAACTCAAGCTGTGGAGAGAATAAAGGGCTGAATATAGAAGTCTCTCAGGTCTGAAAAAAGGAAACCAAAAGGACACCACATTCCTGAAGCATTTTTCAAATACTAGTAAGGCAGAAAACATTTTGTTTCCCCATTATGGTGCCAAGTCAGCATGCTTGTCTGGAATGGGTGCTCTCGGCTGGAGGATCTTAGTATGTGGCAGATGGCCGGAGGCTTACTGTTTTGGACCATGTGGTGGTGAAGTCTTCTGGAGTCGTTTCCTGACTGGACCGAGCTGGATTGGCCCTCTATCTGGCCCAAGCGGCTTGCATCCCTTGTCAGGCTACTTGGCAGCTTGGGGCAGAACTGCGCAGGGTGCCCAAGGCTTATCCCCTTACCTGCGTCGTGGCTTAGAGAATTGGCCTTGAGGGATTGGAGCTGGTGGTGGCAGCGGCTGGATGGTTGCATTGCTGGGTGCCCAGACTGGCTGCTTTGCGATGGAGGTACTCCGTGTGCTTTGCGGCAATTGGTGACGCAGCGGTGGGAAGGAGGCCGGCGCTGCCGATGACAACGGAGGAAGCCCTACGTCGGCTTACAGAAGAGACATATTGCTTCGGAGCAAGGATGAAGGTGCTATAGGGGTGCGGATGAAAGCTATCTTTTTCTTTCATCGTGGTCACACGGGAGTGAGGGACTTTGCTGTGGCGAAGGGAGGGCTGGATCGGGTGGTTGCAGCTGCCTGGGCCCTGTGGCTACAGCTCCATCCCCTATGTGGTTGGTAGCCATCTTGCCTCCTTCCTGGCTGGGGGCTGGAAGGCATCTTGTAGCAGCCATTTCCACGTGGGCTGTTTCAAGCGGAAGTCATTGTGACCCAAGAGGACTTTGACTGGAAAGATTGGATTAGGGAACTGGTCATCAAGTAGGAGAGTTTGTGGGTTGTGATTCTGCCTACCTTCCCATGGATGAGAGCCGGGCGTGGGGGTTGGATCATTGGGACTGAATAGTTGGATGCCTAACCAGTCTGGTGAGAGGGGACTGGCTGAAGGAATTGTGTGCTTGGTATATGGGGGTGAGGTGGGTCCCTGAGTAGCTGGAAGCACTGAATGCACTCCAAAGTGCCTCTGGTATTAGGGGGGCCCTAGTTAGTTGACTGTGATTGTGTGAGTAAGGTGGAGGGTGCGGGTTTGGGCATGGACCTTTATGGACAGGGGAGGGGGGAAGGCTCTGAAGGGATGGAGGCAGGTTGTAACATCCCAGTAGTGACCGGTAGGGGGAGACATGATGGGAGGTGGGTGGTGGGCTGCTCACAGGGACCGTGCCACAGGTATATTGTTCCTGTGACATGTTCCAGCCCCTCAAACTCGTTCCCAGGCCCTGGATGGCAGACCAAGGCCCTGGGTTGTCAGCTGCTGCTGCAGCTGAATGCCAGGTCGGTCTGGAATAAGGGTACCCTCATTCATGACTTGATGGTCGATGAAAGGCTGACCTGGTGTGATTACTGAGACCTGGCTGGGACAGGAAGGGGGGGTTCCCCTCTCTGAGATGTGCCCAGCTGGGTTCCAGGTGCAGCACCAGCCAAGATCCCAAAGGTAGGGGTGGTGGGATGGCAGTGGTCATCCAAGGTACTTGGGAGGCATCCAGGGGCGCTGCCACTTAGATTGCCAGGTGTGAGGCCCTATTTGTTAAGTTGGGTACTAAAAGGGATCAGTTGGAACTGCTGCTATTGTACCAGCCTCCCTGGTGCATAGCAACCTCCCTGCCTGAGCTTCTTGACTCTGGCCAGATTGGCAGTGGAGTTCCCCAGGCTTATGGTTTTGGGGGACTTCAACTTGCCTTCTCTGGCTGTGGGGTCTGAGGTAGCTTGGGAGTACATGGCCACCATGACAGCCATGGGCCTGTCCCAAGTCATCCCCTGCCCAACATGTAACAGTGGTCATACACCTGACCTGGTTTTTCTGTTGGAGGAATGGCAGAGTGTTCTGGATTTGGGGGAGATACTGGTTTCTCCCCTATCATGGTCAGATCACTCCCTGGTAAGCCTCTGGTGCCACCCCCCTCCGCAGAGAGGCTGGGCCTATTAGATCGGCCCGTCCCAGGTAAATGATGGACCCGACTGGGTTCCCGAGGGAGCTTGAGGTTGTTCCGGAAGGTCTGCTACATGGTCCGGCCGAAGCCTTAGTGGCCACTTGGAGTGGGAGAGCGGCTGCAACTTTGGACCGGATTGCGCCTGAGCAGCCTCTCTGTGCCCATGGCTCTCAGAACCCTCCCCGAAGAGCTAAGGAAGCTTAAGAGGGCTAAGAGACCGCTGGTGAACAACAAAGAGTGAGGACAATCGAACCTGAGCTAGAGCCACTATCAGAGGCTACCTCGTGGTGGTAAAGGCAGCAAAACGTAATTATTTCTCCACCCTTATTGCATCCGCAGATAGTCACCAGTGGCCCTGTTTCGGGTGACTTGGTCCCTCCTTGGAGGGAGTAATACTGGGATTCACCTACAGGGTCGCTGTGAGGAAGATGCTGCACATCTAGTGGATAAAAGTCACTTGTTATTTGCTCTACGTTGGACTCCAAACTTAGGGCAGAACAGTAGAGGTTACGGGGACCAAGTCCTACATGGTTATCTGGGGGGCCTTTGATCCCGTTGAACCTGAGGAAGTGGACAGGGCTCTTATAGCTGCTATTTCAGCCACTTCTGTGTTAGATCCATGCCCCTCCTGGGTGGTTAAGGCTGCCCGGGAGAGGACACGTGATTGGATCTAGGTGGTGGTTAATTCTTCCTTGAGGGAGGGGGTGGTCCTGCCAGCTCTTAAGGAGGTGATGGTGCACCCTCTCCTCAAGAGGACATCGCTTGACCCAACTAGTCTGGACAGTTTTTGTCCAGTCTCCTACCTCCCCTTTTTAGTGGATGAAAGTGGTCGCATGGCAACTTCAAAGGACCCTGGATAAAGCAGATTATCTGGACCCCTTTCAGTCAGGGTTCAGGCTGGGTTATGGGACTGAGACGGCATTGGTCATGTCCTTGGATGACCTCTGGCAGGAACAGGATGGGGGTAGTGCATCCATCTTTGCTCTTCGTGACCTCTCAGTGGCCTTCAGTACCATCGATCATGGCATCCTTCTGGACCGGCTTCGGGAGTTGTGGGTGGGCGGCCCTGTGTTGTGCTGGTTCTCCTCTTTCCTCCAGGGTCAGTTCCACTTGGTGTTGATAGTGGGGAAGAGGTCTAGCCCACAGCCCCTACTTTGTGGGGTGCCCCAGAACTCGGTCCTCTCCTCTCTTATTTAACATTTACATGAGACCACTGGGTGATGTGATCTGATGAGGTTTGCGTGAGGTATCATCAATATACTGATGATACCCAGCTTTATATTTGTACCCTGGGCTGCCTGAGTGATGCCATGGATGTTCTGTCCCAATGCCTGAAGGCTGTAGGGGCCTGGATGGAGCACTTCGACTCAACTTCAACTCAACCCAAGCAACCCAAAAAGACCGAGCAGCTTTGGGATGTTGGCTGGCAGGGACTAGGAGGCATGCCTTCTCTGCCGTAGCCCCTGCCCTCTGGAATATTCTCCCTCCAGAGATTAGGATGGCCACAACCCTGTTGGTCTTTTGTAAGGCCTTGAAGACCTAGTTATGTGCCCGGGCCTGGGGCCCTGAGTGTATTAAGGGTCCTGTTTCCTGGTTATATTGATATCTATGGTTATAATTCTTCTTGGCTGTTATATATTTATTTTTGTATGGTGTTTGTACATGATTGTACAACCATATCATGATTGTTCGCCGCCCAGAGTCATTTGTCTGAGATGGG